AAATATATAATTAAAAAATATATCATATTATTATATAATTAGATTATTAATTTAAGTTTAATTAAACTATTTTATTTTCTTATTTTAATGATATAATTTATATTTGATTTATTTATATATTTAAAAACAGATTTTAAAACTTTTTAAAAATCTAATTTAATAAATTAAAAATTTAAAATATTTGTAAAAATATAAAATATAGAATTAATATGTATTATTTTTTTTAAAATATTAAAATATATGATGATAATATAATATATAAATAATTATTTTTTCTATATGTACATCTTTTATTTCTGAATTATTACACATTTTTACTTTACAATTATTATAACTTTTAATGTTAAATTTAAATTACATCTTTATATAATAATTGTATAAATTTGAATTTTTAATTTATATATTTTTATATTTTTTTTTTATAATTTTTATTAAGTTTAAAATTAAATTTAAAAGGCTGATTTTTATTTTATATAAAAAACTTAAAAAAGAATTTATAATTCTCAGAATTTAATAATATTATAGATTTAAAATTAAATTATATATAATAACCTATAATTTTATAATACAAATTAATAAATAAATATGATTATATTATAGTTTTTTTATTAAATTATTCTTTATATAATATTTTTAAAATCTAATTTTATTTTAAATAAAATTCTTTTAAACTTTTTAATATGATTATACTCATTTTATAATAAAATAAAAAAAAATTAAATTAAATAAATTCAACTTTAATATAAATAATAATCATTATCATTTATATTTTACATATATAGTATATATTGTCAAAAAGTAATTAATTTAATATATATTATAAAATAAGCTATATAAGTATATTAGAAAAATTACTAAAAAGATCAGATTTTAAAAAAATCTTTTAAATAAATTAATACCTTATTATATTTATTCTAATAATTTTAAAAGCTAAAATGTAATAAAATTCAAAATTTTATTAAAAAATTTCTTAAATTTGATTTTTCTATTAATTATTTCATTTGATTTATAATAAAAATGAAAATTTAAATAGTAATAATATAAAAATTTTAATGTTTATAATTTTTATTAAAACTATTTTATATAAATATTATATATTATATATTATATAAAATAAATTTTAAATATAAATTGATATAAATAATCAAATAAATAAAAATATATAATATTAATAATATATTTGAATTAAAAATTTTATATTTTCTCTTATATTATTTAAATAGGAACTTAAATCAAAAATAAATATTTTAAATAATTTGTTAAAAAAAAATTGAATTAATATTTTATAATATAAATTCTATTATATTTTATATGAATTTAATGAATAAAAAATATATATTAATTAAATACTTATCTTATTAATAAAAAGTTAATTCTTAAAAAATAATAAAAGTATTAACTATTAGATTAATTATTTTATTATATAACTTTAAATTATTAAAATAATTTAAATTGTTAACTATTCTAAATTAATTGTTAATTATTCAAATTACTTATATCAATTATTAATTAACAATTTTAATTTTAATTTTAAATTTTAATATTAAATTTTTTTTATATTAAAATGTTTATTATATAATAATATTTAAATATCAAAAAAAAAGATATTATATTAATTTATATATAAGTACTAAACTAAAAAAAATAGGTTTATTTAAATATTTTTCTTAAAGATAACATTGCAATTATTGTAATCCTATAATAATTATTTATCACCTATTATATTAGTTATAGTATTATCTTTAATTTTTTTAAATATTTTTATTAAATCAATATAAAATAAATTTTATTTAAATATATTTATAAAATTTATATATGTAGATATAAAATCTTAAAAACCTCAAAAAAAGCTTTATTAGTAGTAAAAAAATCATAATAATAAACTATATGTATTAATTTTATTAATTAAATAAATAATAAGTAGTAAAAATTTTAAGATTAATAAGGCTATTTGAATATTTTTTATTCAAGAAATTAATTATATACTGTACCGTTCTGAAATTAGATAATCTTTTTTGTTATAAGGTTGTTTAATTTTGGATACTTTTAAAAATAAAAAATTTAATTAAATTTAAAAGAAATTTGACCTGTTCAGTTATGAATTAGGAACGCTAGTTTATTTGCAAGAAAGCCATGTATTTAAATGTTAAATATCATGAAGATCACTTGTAAAACATAATATAATATCGCGATTAAATTTAATCATATGTGATAATGATAAATCACGAGCTCGTTAATAAACCAGTTTAAAAATTTACACAAATGCCGCCTCAAAAAAAAAAGCAAAATTGTTTAAGTGCTGTTAATAAAAAATAGTTAAACGATGCCACAATTCATATGCCGTTGAGCAAAAGAGACAAGTTGTCACTTATGCTAAAGAAAATGGAATAATTAAAGCAGCAAATACTTTTGAACTTGATAAAGGTATGGTTAGTCGCTGGGTCAAGTTGTATCTTATTATTAGCAATAGTTTTATCTTTTTTTATAAATTAATTTATCTAAATCTTACGTAATATTTAGTTTTACCAATTTTATAGATCCTTTATATTGCAATTAATTCTTATTATATTATATAATTTGTTATACAAATTTTTTAGGTTACAATATTTATATATAGTTAGAGATATTTTAATGCAGTTTATTATATTTAATTTAGAAAAATCTATTATGAATTAGTATTTAAGAAAATTACAATTAAAATTTTCACATTAATCTAAATTATACTATTAGAATTCAATAATGATTTGCAGAAGAATAGATATGGGAAGTTTGCTAGAAAAATTAGGCTCTAGAAAATTTTTTGACTAAACTTAAGACCTTATTACATTTTAATTTAATAACACCGAAAACTAAATGAAATAACAATCAAAACTTTGTTAAAAAATTTCAGAACCTGATTTTCCTAGCAATCTTTTCATATAAAATAACTAAAGGAATTAAAGCTAAAATATTAATTAACCTTACTTAATAATGCTTTAGAAGTTATAATTCCAAATATTAAAAAGAACGTGAAAAAGCAAAAAAAGAAATCTATAGAGTAGATTCTAAGTCATATGTGGGTTGGAGTTTGTAAAAAATATAGTTAGATTTTCGTTTTATTTTACGTGCTCTCAACATTAATAAAGCATTTATGTTGGCTAAAAATAAAGAAAGTCGTATTAATTGGAATTGTGTTTATTTCATTTGTGATGAAATCGTGGGTCGTACTTGTTATAATTCGGTAAAGTGTTAACCAGGCTTGCTTTTCAGCCGAAAATTCAGGATCTTTGATCTACCATTCCGCAATTACGTATTATTCTTGTCTTTTCTTTACAGGCAGCCACCTTACATGATCACAAAAAATTCCGTCACTTCAAGCAAATTTTTGACGGTCCGTCACTAAAATTTCAGTCACATTCACGTATTGCTTATCATCAAAAATTCTCCTTTAACCTCCTTGCAATGTTTAGAAAGTCTTATTTGATGAGGGGGAGTTAAGTTACCGTTACTAATATTTGCAAAAATCGTTCATCCAAAGATAAGTACAGGGGTTGATCTTGACAAATAATTTTGTTTTTAATAGGAAAATTGGAAATATCGATTAACCGGATCTCTTAATGCGATTGTGAGTAAGTAAGATTAGTTATCAATCATTGACCGCTTTGATTTCTTACGAATTCTCGAAGCCTGGCGCAATATCGTAATAAAAAGATCGAAACAAAACTCAACCTCATGCGAGATCTAAGGAAAAAAATTGTATTTGAGACGGTATGGTATACCATGAATAAGAAGCAAACAAGTAAGTCACGATGGATTTAATGCTCTGCAAAATTTTTTTCTGACTAATTTTTTATTTCGGAATTTACATTAGTTTTGAGTTCGAAATCCTTATTTAGCCGAAAGAAAATTCCTTAGCGGTTCTTGGAATAGACTGTAAGTGGATTTGGTGTATCTAAAGAACCGGAATATTTGGGATGGAGTTGGGATTTCCGAAATGGACTTTGTACGTAGGTAATTAGTTATTAGCATTAGTGATGGGATTAGTGAACAATTTGGCGGAGCCAAAGAATAGGGGCAGTCAAGACGGGCTTAGGGTCCGATTGCTAGTGTTCCATTGTTTTTAGCACGCCCATGCAACTTCGCGAAAATATTATTTTTGTATCTCTATGGACGAAATACCTAATTGAATAAATATAATAAAGTTTTCGCCTTTCATTTTTTAATTGTGTATGCGGTGTGAGAAATTTTTATTCGGGTTGCGTGTTTAATGTATCGCAAATTAAAAATTGTGCTTATTTGGCTAGTAATGATACATCCCTACCTACGCTATGGTAACTGCTAATATTTTAATCCGTTTCAAGCTAGTGCTTCCTAATACAGGGCAATGTCAGAAACTCAGTATCGGCAAAATAGGTCGATCTTTTTTTATTATTATTAATATTATTATTATTGTTGTTATTATTACTAATGTGCTAGGAACTGACAGAATGAATTCATTGTATATTTTAAGATGTTTTAATGTTATTTGGTAAATGAATTGTATAAGTATACATAAGGATTTATTCAAATTTATTTCCACGTGTTAGAACCAGGAATGCACACCGCAAAGGAGTAAAAACTTTATTTGGATTTTTTTTTTTTCCCCGTCATACGGGATGAGAAAATCAGATTATTTCTCAATTTTGATTACATATGAAGTTAACGAGTGACATGAGGAACCTCCTTTGGCAAAAAAAAAAAACTTATTTATTTCTAATCTCCTAGAAAAATTACATAACGCCCTACTTTTGGAAGTTTTATATTTTTTTTTTTAGAAAAATGTTTTCCAGAACTCATCGGAACTTGGAATGGTTCCGAATGCTTTACATGTAAATGCACATCATCGATCTTTCATAAATATATAAAGTACCATCAAAGACTTTTTTTTGGTATTGAATATAAGAATTCTAAAGATATATCATCACTCAAACTTTCTCAAGACCTATATTTGCAATAACGAAATTCGAAAATTTTAATTCATCATGTCATTAAGGGGGGTCTTTGGTAGTTCTACTACATTGTTTGCAATTTTCGCGGCAAATATTTCAAAATCATCCGTTCATCCACACGTAGAACATCATCATCATCATTCCAAAAAGTAAGTAGCCTATTCTTTTTTTTTTTTAAAAAAAAAAAAGAAAAAAAAAAAAAACTCAGTACAAACTAACTTTTTTGTAGAGAACAAAATTCGAGTCGTAACCATCATAATTCTCATCAATTTCAAATTCAACCACCCAAATCAAGACAACCTGCATTCTCAAGGTATAATCAGAAAATAGGCGATAAGCTAAGAAAATCCAAATCCAAAAATTCAACGCCAAGCAAACGAAAATAAGCTAATGCTAATTTCATTTGTTTGTTGGGACATTCGGTTTTTTTTTGTTTAGTTCAAAATTTCATCATTTAATTTAATTATTTTAATGTTAGTCGATCATTTCCTTTTCTTTTTTTACAATAATAATGGAATATCAACTCAAATTGTATATATAAATAAATAATATGTAATATAAATCTTAATTCTATTCTAATCTAATAAATTCTAATTTTTTACAAAAAAGCGTTCATATTTTTGTAATAAATGTAACTTTATAACCCCTCTGATACATATAAAAAAGGTCATATGGGAAGATTGCTAAAATAATCAGGTTCTGAGAATTTTTAACAAAATTTTGGATTTTATTGTATTTTAGTTATGATGTTATTAGATAAAATGCATTAAGAACTTAAATTTAGTCAAAAATTAGCAATCTTTCCATTTGAATTCACGGGAATTTATTGTAGTATTATTTTATTATTATTATCAACAGTGTGTTAGTACATTCGTGAATTAACGAATTTGGTTTAATTTAAAATATGTATGAATCAAAGTTCAAGTTTAGTGTTATTTTAAGTGTAAACAATAAATCATAATCATCTATTAATGTTTAGCTATTTTAGGCAAATCTCGAAAATGTTCATTTTGATGGAAAGTTGTTATTTATACAAAAAGTTGTCTTCGAAGGAATACAATTATTAAAAAAATATTCAGAAAAATGCGTTGTTTAACATACAAAGATATATATAGATTAAAATTCTAGAGTTCCTCCTTTTCACATGCCATCATGAATAAGGCAAATAATTACAAAACCAATAACCAAAGTTGGAGATGGAATTGTGAATTGAATCAGGATTACCAGATGTAAGTTGAATAAATAAAATTTTTTATCGCGCCTATTTCGTGGTTGAGTTTAAGCAAATATAGCTACACCAAGCCATGATTTGTGTATTATAGTCTAATAAAATACTTATTTGTTATATTTTTCTTTTTTTATTCAAAAATTATAAATTTAAATTTAAATTTAAATAATTACAGTAATAATAAAGCTTCGGTGAAACAACTAATAAAAAATTTCCAAATTTCCATCTTCAACTAATTCTTACATAACGGTAATCATGTCGTTAGGAACGGCTAAAGCTTTAGATTGAACAGCTTCAATAATTCTATCACCAAAAAACCAATTTGCAACAGCAATCAACCGAGCATCTAAACCAACATAATAAGTATTTTTAGGATAAGGAGCGGTTAAAGCATGTACGATAGCATCGCTCACAACAGCAGGTGGAATCATCGATGCCCCTAATAATGAACTTCTCTTTGCAATCATTCTGAATAAATTTTCATAAGATTCAATTGCATTTGATGTAATATTATATGATATGTCATGGTATTTTGAATCAGATGTGAATGAGACAAAGTTACGATATGCTTTCATTTGACTTTCGGTAAATCTGGTAGAAACAACACCTATATTCGTACATTGCAACGTTAATCTCGATGTTTGATGGCTGACTAATCTCCGAAATTTAAACCCTTAAGAAGAACTTACCAGGTTCGACGAGCGAAAAATGTATGCCCATAGATCTAGTCTCCATTCTCCATACTTGTGTAATTGCTCTAATAGCGGCTTTGGTTGCTGAATAAATTCCCATAGAAGGAGCAGGACCCCAAGATGCGATGCTACCGACGTTAACAACCCTGCCCCTGCTTTCCCTTAATAAAGGTAAAAACTTCTTTGTTAAATTAATAATACTAAAATAATTAGTATTAAAACTATCCTCATAACAACTTTCTGATGCGATCTCCAGAGGAACGTAAAAAATCAAAGCGGCATTATTAACCAATCCAACAAAAGGAATCTCTCTTCCTATCGTTGTACGAACCGAATCGTACGCTTTTTGAATATCATCTTTATTAGTTACGTCCATTATTAAAGGTATTAATTTTCCATTCATAGCATTATCAAGTTCTGCAAATCGATTCTTCAATTCCTCGGCATCAACTTCCCTACGAACCGTTGCAAACACTGTATAACCTTGTTTGGCCAAAGTTAATGCGACATCTCGTCCGATTCCAGAAGAAGTTCCCGTAACTAAAACTGCTGGATGATAACTTGATGTTGAATTATGAACATGTAATGGTGATTGATTAAGAAATTTAATTAAAATTATCGAAACGAGTGTATTATATGCATATGTAATATAGTCGATTACAAGTGTTAAATGAATTAACACTTCATCAACTAAGTCTCCGTAGGACATCGTAATTTTTTTTTTTTCGTTATTTCGAGTAAATGCAAAAAGATGATTTTTTTTTTTTTTTTTTTTAAAAAAAAAAAACTCCGTACACCCCTTTATTTTTTTTATGGTATCTACATCTTAATTTACCTAAATTGATTTCTAAATTGTGTTGATTGGCACGTGAAGGAAGCTTTTTATATGCCTTAGATGTAAATCAAATTGGCGTAACAATTTTTGGGAAAATTGCAGAAAAACTTTTTTTAATGTCGCAGCAAATTGAAAAACAGTTTTTCTTTTTTCATGCTATATTACAATTGAGTAAGTATTTGATCATGAAGACATCATATCTTTTTCTTACGCATTTTCAATTAATTGTTCCAATTTATCAGCAGCAGATTGTACATGAGAGGCAACGCCACCACGAACTTCTCTAAGCATTTCATTCATTTCATTAGATTGTCTAACTTTAACTTCTCTTTTCAATCTGTCAAGTAAAGCTTTTTTATCAACATTATCAATGTGAGGAAGGTCTCTGAGCAATTCTGTAGGATTCTTTAAACGCTCTTGTCCGATAGCCGCAGCATATTTTCCAAGCGCCGAAGCTAAAATTTTAAATTCTTTTAGTTGATCTTATTTATAACAAAGTAGGTTAAAAAAGTTTGATAAAATACCTGCGGTCGCAGCCTGAGTTTTGAAGTGAGGACCAGTACCCTCTTTACTTTCTTTACGAGCGTAATCCGTAGACAAGGATTTTAATTCAATAAGATTACGATTTTCTGCTTCTACACTTATACCTTCTATATGTTCATCTTGATGATAAACGTTGATTGGCTGCTCTTCAACATCGACTATGTATTATAAATAAATTTTGATCAAATATTGTTAAAATAACAAAGATAATGAAAGAAAAAAACGGATGCAAACCACCACCAACTCCTGGTGGACCATATTTCATTTGTCTTTGTCCTGTTGTTGGTTTGGGGACATATTCATCATTTATTTCTGTTCTTTGGTTAAATACTCCTTTCGCAGTAGACATTTTTTCGATAATTTATTCGCGAGAAAATCGGCAAATTTAAAAAAATTTTGACCTCTTTTATAACAAAATTTTTGACACGAGTTACAAAATACATTTCGTATTTCGTTATTAATATGACATAATAATTGAATCATAAACGGTTTTATCCACTTAATGTAATTAAAATAGTGTTGGTTTATGGTAGCAGACTAAAAATTTGATTTTTAATTGTAAAAATATTCTGGAAAAGATCATTAAACACAATAAACTTTTACTATAATGAGTTACCAGTGTAATCAAATGAATATCAATAAAATATTTGCTTAATAGATATTATATAACTTATCAATAAAAATGTATCATTAATTAAATTAATGAGTATGATAAAAATCCTATAAGTATCTATTATTAAAATAATGACAAATAAAAATATAGATAAAAATGCATCTTATATTTATTAATAATGTTAAAGCATTTTAATTAAGAAAATTTTACATTATATTAGAGATATCTATTATTAATAACAAGTATATATAAGTTTAAAAGGCATTTTAAAATAAATAAAATTAGTATTTATATATAATTTAAATAAAAAATAAATGTTACAAATAAAAAATAATAATAATATAATAATTTAGTAATATAATAATATTATTTTATAAATAAATATTATACAAATTATTCAATTAAATTAGATACAAACTTAAATAAATAGTAATAATGAAAAATTTTAAAATCTATATAATTAAGGTTTTTTGTCTAAACTTATTTTAAATTTGGCAAAATATTTAAACTATAGTTTTGCTAATTTTTTACTAAGGTTTTGATATAGTTTTACATTTTATAAGCTTTGATATGGTTGTATTGTTAACGTGCAATTCTTGCGAATTACGACAGTTAGACGGGGTGTTCGAGTGGTGATTCTTTTAAAGTTTACGTAGTAATCTAATAGTTGTC